TGAAAGTACACAATTTAAGCAGAAACACCAGTGTTTTTTATCGGAAATGAAAGAAACCATTGATCATAGCAACTGTCTGAGATTAGCAGGGAGCCACATTTTCAAACATCCTGCAGTAAATCCAGAGCAGATCCAGCTGGAAAGCAAGAGTGGAAATAAAACTCGAAAATTCATACCACACTTTGAAGTCTGCTTCTTTCACAACCACGAGTCCCTGATTCGCCCTAACCATTCTGAACTGCTCTTGCTTGCTGACTTTATTTTAAGAGACACCAGCCATGCACTTGCATATAATCTTTCAAATGGACTCCAGCTTTTTGCAGGGATGGCTTGCTGGGGAATTTAAGTCCCAAAATACTTTCTCTTACACATGATCCAAGCCATTAATTCCCCTGACTCCAACCAGAATAGAAAGACTTCCAGCACCAAAACTAGAAACCATTCTTGGTTCTAGTAAGTAGAACTTTTTTTTGTGTGTGTGTGTATTCTTTCCCTAACTCTTCCACGTACTTCTAATTTCTAGTTTCTTAGTGCTAGGAATTCCAGGATAGCAGCCTAAGAATATCTTGCCTCCCATGAAGCCAAATGGAACTCCTCAAGTGGACCATGTCATCACGCAGAAGTAACCCTGTTATATCCTCAGAAGAAAGATAAAGGTCTAAATTGTACTGAGCTGTAATCTTGCAGAAGGCTTAACTGTCACCATATATCAATGTCACCTACCAACTGGACTCAGCCAGTTCTTTTGCTCAAATCCCAGGTGACTTTACTATAGGACATGGCATCTTAGGCCAGATGGCTGTCAGATCTTCTCTGTACTATCTCTGTAAGAAAAACAGAGGTTCCCTTGGACTGAGGTCCAATAATCCTTAGTATCTGTAATGGCCCCAAGGAAGAACTGGCAAGGGTCAGAAACAGAATAGTCACAATAAAAAAATCACTAAACTCTATGATGACCTACATGTGTGGAGTTTCTGTCAACAAAGCAAAAACTGAAGAAAATACTTTGAATCACAGTGCCTGCTCTAGAATAACATAAAATGAAACAACAACAACAAAAAAACCTGCTCCATCTCTTCTACTAAATGACATGTTAGATGAACAGAACGTTACTAAAGTCTTTTCCAACTCTGACATTTTAAGGTAGGTAATTCCGAAGATCAGGAGCATCCATCCACTGATGAGATTTTTAATCAGATTTACAGAGTGGGACAAATGACTTTGTTACTGTTGTTACCCTAGATGAAACATGTTTAAAAGGATCTTCAGAAACTTTAGCACTGATACTCTAACATACTTATAACTTCTTTCTCTCCCTCTAGGTACTTCTGGTCCTGTCAGTCTGTCTCTCTTCCACACCAACATATATACAACCAGAAGTGTGTACAAACCAGTGAGAGGGAAAAACACACCAGGCAGTGATTTTTAACTTTTGTCAATTTGTACAAGCCCTGAAAGTTCCAATCTCCCAAATATATTACATAGTATAGCTTGTGAAAGGCAGGCTGCAAATAGACAAGCACACAGCACAAATGTGTTATTTCAACTGAGTACAGAAAACTCCATTTGCCCACTCATTCCTTCTAGAGGCACAATTCCTTCTGGTAGCAAGAGAAACAGCACGAAAGTCCTTGGCTTTGGGGGCCCATGTCTCCCTTCTCTGGCTCTCCCATTTGGGAGGTGGATAGTTCAACAGTGAAATAAAACCTAAATGAAGAGGATCATACCATAGACTCAAAACCATGAACCCTGGATGTGCTTAATCCAAGAAACATCGGAGCAACAAATTTAATAAGGGAGGGGGTACCCAGAAACAAAGAACTCTCAACTTTACAAACACTGGGAGGGCAACAGCTGGTCAGCCGAGATTAAAGGAGCGTGAGAGAGCACCTCCCCATCTCCTGACTTCTCCTCCCCCATAGACATCCCTGCAGCCAGCCAGGGCTCACTTTTACAGCCCTGTGCAGATGACCTTGTTCCAGCTAAGATAGGGGCTCCTTTGATCTCAGCAGGGGGATGTTCTGAGCCTGCAGCTGGCAGATATTAATAGTACAAGATCCGCTGGGGTAGAAGAGATCTCTCAGTTGGGCCAGGTCACTTGTATTCCCTCTTTTGCGTCAGAGTAGAAGGAACTTCATTTCCCGAATGAGCCCCTGCTGGGTACTCCTCTCAGGTCAACTCAGATCATTTTATTGCTGGCTACTCTTGCCTGCTTGTTCTCATCACACAACTGTTTTCAAGGAAGCACTGTTTAAGCAATGGCCTCTGTTCCACAGCTGAAATCTATTACAGGACTCTGTAAATCAGAAATAAACCCCATCTGTGGGTGGATGCTCCTGATATGCAGGCCCACCTCATAATCTTATAATGTCAGAACTGGAGAAGACTTAGGCAATCTTTTATTTATCCAATCTAACACAGAACACAGGAAGAAACGGAGGCCCAAAGTGGTTGACAGACTTGTCCAAGATCAGTTAACACAAAGATCAAGATTATATAATGGATGTTTGAAACAATAAGAGAGCAACATTTTATATGAGATGTGATATAGTATCATATATGAATATATATACA